CAGGTTGTATCATACATGTATCTAAACACATTTTACCAGAGCTACGGTCAAACTTTTACCAATCGGACAGTTTGTATCTACCTCTTGAGACCTATAGCCGGTAGGGTCGGGTAATAGGGGGATGGGTACCCAGGTAGTAAATTTGGACTCGTCCCAGCCTTAAAAGAAGCATCCTTGGACAGTTAATATACACATATATATATGTGGGGAAGCACATATTTCTGAGCCACAAGAAACCTACATAAAGCTGACACTGTAGAGGGATGAACATTGATAATACCCACAATCCACACAAGTAATAACACTTGACAATGAGTAAGACATTTCAAAACAAAAATACTTTCTTTCAAGCTGCAATATCATCCACTTTGTTACATCTCAAAAGAATAAAGATATATTCCAGCACAGATAACAAGAGTTCAAAGACAACTTGTCACAATTAATGTCTATCTTATGTTGTGAAGGTAGTGAAATCTGATTCGAATAAGTCATGTGTGGTTGGATGCCTTTGACAGAGCAGCAGAGATTACATTACCAATGTATGACTGACATGTCGATTTGTGTCATGATGACAACACTGCTTCTTCCATTCGGCCTGGACCTGTCACAACCACAACATTCCATCAAAACAGAGATGTGGATACTTTGATCTCCACCATCAACATCACCATTTGCAAGTCAACTGCTCCAGCACACCACATGCATGTACAGCTACTGCCTTCCCTATCAACACACAACTGGGTGCACAAAAGTCAGTGAGTGATCCACACCTTCAACATTGCTACAGAAACAAAAGTCAGTGAGTGATCCACATCTTCAACATCGCTTCAGATACAAAAGTCAGTGAGTGATCCACATCTTTAACATTGCTACAGAAACAAAAGTCAGTCAGTGGTCCACACCTTCAACATTGCTACAAAAACAAGCGTATAGTTGACAAAGTCATCTTTATCCCCCGTCCACTTTAACACTTTATGGTCCCAAACCAGGTAAATGACCCAACATTTCTCTTAGCCCATGTCAAAATAGCTGCAATGGAAATTCTAAAATAAACATTTCTAAAACTCCCTAATATCAAATGGCACTAGTTCAGTATGCGCTTTATATATAGACATGCAATGTTTGGCAAGGAAATATTTAACAGTTTATTTGTTATACTACTTAAGTAAACCAATCCTATATTAAAACTTAAATCCAACTTGTTGTCATGGAAACATAAGCAATAAAAATTTATAAAAGTGCTATATATCAAAAGGCACCAGTTCAGTATGTGCCTAGTAGACATGCAAAGTTTTGTAAGAAAGTATTAAACGGTTTTTGAGTTACACTCCGGAAACTAACACCACCCTTATAGAACCTAAGTCAAACTTGTTGCAATGGAAACATAAAACACAAATATTTATAAAATTCCTAAATAGCAAAAGGCACCAGTTCAGTATGTGTCTGGTAAACATGCAAAGTTTTGTAAGAAATTATTTAACGGTTTTTGAGTTACGCTCCGGAAACGAACACCACCCTTATAGAACCTAAGTCCAACTTGTTGCAATGGAAACGTTAAAAGTAAAAAATTTTATAAAATTCCTAAATAGCAAGAGGCACCAGTTCAGTATGTGTCTGGTAAACATGCAAAGTTTTGTAAGAAATTATTTAAAGGTTTTTGAGTTACGCTCCGGAAACGAACAGCACCCTTATAGAACCTAAGTCCAACTTGTTGCAATGGAAACGTAAAAGGTAAAAAAAATTAAAATTCCTAAATAGCAAGAGGCACCAGTTCAGTATGTGCCTAGTAGACATGCAAAGTTTTGTAAGAAAGTATTTAATGATTTCTGAGTTACGCTCCGGAAACGAACAGCACCCTTATAGAACCTAAGTCCAACTTGTTGCAATGGAAACATTAAAATTCAATTTTTTTCTAAAATTCCTAAATAGCAAGAGGCACCAGTTCAGTATGTGTCTGGTAAACATGCAGAGTTTTGTAAGAAATTATTTAACGGTTTTTGAGTTACGCTCTGGAAACGAACAGCACCCTTATAGAACTAAAGTCCAACTTGTTGCAATGGAAACGTAAAGAGTAAAAAAAATTAAAATTCCTTAATAGTAAAAGGCACCAGTTCAGTATGTGCCTAGTAGACATGCAAAGTTTTGTAAGAAAGAATGTAATGGTTTTTGAGTTACGCTCCGGAAACGAACAGCACCCTTATAGAACCTAAGTCCAACTTGTTGCAATGGAAACGTTGAAAGTAAAAAAAATTCTAAAATTCCTAAATAGCAAGAGGCACCAGTTCAGTATGTGCCTAGTAGACATGCAAAGTATTTAATGATTTTTGAGTTACGCTCCGGAAACGAACACCACCCTTATAGAACTAAAGTCCAACTTGTTGCCATGGAAACGTAAAAAATAAAAAATTATAAAATTCCCAAATAGCAAAAGGCACCAGTTCAGTATGTGTCTGGTAAACATGCAAAGTTTAGTAAGAAATTATTTAACGGTTTTTGAGTTACGCTCCGGAAACGAACACCACCCTTATAGAACCTAAGTCCAACTTGTTGCAATGGAAACGTTAAAAGTAAAAAAAAATTATAAAATTCCTAAATAGCAAGAGGCACCAGTTCAGTATGTGTCTGGTAAACATGCAAAGTTTTGTAAGAAATTATTTAACGGTTTTTGAGTTACGCTCCGGAAACGAACACCACCCTTATAGAACTAAAGTCCAACTTGTTGCCATGGAAACGTAAAAAATAAAAAATTATAAAATTCCCAAATAGCAAAAGGCACCAGTTCAGTATGTGTCTGGTAAACATGCAAAGTTTAGTAAGAAATTATTTAAAGGTTTTTGAGTTACGCTCCGGAAACGAACACCACCCTTATAGAACCTAAGTCCAACTTGTTGCAATGGAAACGTAAAAGGTAAAAAAAATTAAAATTCCTAAATAGCAAAAGGCACCAGTTCAGTATGTGCCTAGTAGACATGCAAAGTTTTGTAAGAAAGTATTTAATGGTTTTTGAGTTACGCTCTGGAAACGAACACCACCCTTATAGAACCTAAGTCCAACTTGTTGCAATGGAAACGTTAAAAGTAAAAAAAATTATAAAATTCCTAAATAGCAAGAGGCACCAGTTCAGTATGTGTCTGGTAAACATGCAAAGTTTTGTAAGAAATTATTTAAAGGTTTTTGAGTTACGCTCCGGAAACGAACAGCACCCTTATAGAACCTAAGTCCAACTTGTTGCAATGGAAACGTAAAAGGTAAAAAAAATTAAAATTCCTAAATAGCAAAAGGCACCAGTTCAGTATGTGCCTAGTAGACATGCAAAGTTTTGTAAGAAAGTAATTAATGGTTTTTGAGTTACGCTCTGGAAACGAACACCACCCTTATAGAACCTAAGTCCAACTTGTTGCCATGGAAACGTAAAAAGGAAAAAAAAAAAAAATTCCTAAATAGCAAAAGGCACCAGTTCAGTATGTGTCTGGTAAACATGCAAAGTTTTGTAAGAAATTATTTAACGGTTTTTGAGTTACGCTCCGGAAACGAACAGCACCCTTATAGAACCTATGTCCAACTTGTTGCAATGGAAACGTAAAAAGTAAAAAAATTTAAAATTCCTTAATAACAAAAGCCACCAGTTCAGTATGTGCCTAGTAGACATGCAAAGTTTTGTAAGAAAGTATATAATGGTTTTTGAGTTACGCTCTGGAAACGAACACCACCCTTATAGAACCTAAGTCCAACTTGTTGCCATAGAAACAATAAAAATTTATGAAACTCCTAAATAGCAAAAGGCACCAGTTCAGTATACGTCTGGTAAACATGCAAAGTTTTGTAAGAAATTATTTAACGTTTTTTTGAGTTACGCTCCGGAAACGAACAGCACCCTTTTAGAACTAAAGTCCAACTTGTTGCAATGGAAACGTAAAAAGGAAAAAAAAAAAAAATTCCTAAATAGCAAAAGGCACCAGTTCAGTATGTGTCTGGTAAACATGCAAAGTTTTGTAAGAAATTATTTAACAGTTTTTGAGTTACGCTCCGGAAACGAACAGCACCCTTATAGAACCTAAGTCCAACTTGTTGCAATGGAAACGTAAAAAGTAAAAAAAAGTAAAATTCCTAAATAGCAAAAGGCACCAGTTCAGTATGTGCCTAGTAGACATGCAAAGTTTTCGAAGAAAGTATTTAATGGTATTTGAGTTACGCTCTGGAAACGAACACCACCCTTATAGAACCTAAGTCCAACTTGTTGCAATTGAAACGTAAAAAATAAAAATTTATAAAATTCCTAAATAGCAAAAGGCACCAGTTCAGCATGAGTCTGATAGACATGCAAAGTTTCGTAGAGAAATATTAAACGGTTTCTGAGTTATGCTCCGGAAACAATTTCGGGACGCACACACGCACGCACACACACACACGCACGCACACGCGTTGGGGCGGGGGGTAACAAAAGTCAGTGAGTGGTCCACACCTTCAACATCGTTACAGAAACAAAAGTCAGTGAGTGGTCCACATCTTAAAAAGTCGCTACAGAAACAAAAGACAGTGAGTGGTCCACACCTTCAACATTGCTACAGAAACAAAAGTCGGTGAGTGGTCCACATCTTCAACATTGCTACAGATACAAAATGTACACTGAGATGTGACTGCCTGAGGACACCCTGATCCACACTGAGATGTGACTGCCTTAGGACAGCCTGACCCACACTGAGATGTGACTGGCCTAGGACAGCAAGACTCACACTGAGATGTGACTGTCTGAGGACAGCCCAACCCACACTGAGATGTGACTGCCTAAGGACAGCCTGACCCACACTGAGATGTGACTGGCCTAGGACAGCAAGACTCACACTGAGATGTGACTGCCTGAGGACAGCCCAACCCACACTGAGATGTGACTGCCTGAGGACACCCTGACCAACACTGAGATGTGACTGCCTGAGAACACCCTGACCTACATGCAGTACATGCTGATGCTTAATGTATTCATGGCAGCTAAAGACACTTACCTGGATACATCAGACACAATGCCAAGACACACTGGCTGCCGAGAATCTGAAATTAAACAAATACACAAAGTCAGTTTCTATGGTAACCTGCAAACAAGGATGAACAAAAACAAATAACAAAGTAACATCTTAGATTTTGTGAATAGCAGAAGAGTGGCTCTAAACCAAACTTGATATTAATACCAGTGTGTTTGTCTTTATGAAAGTCCTTGTCTTTGGCGATGTACTTCATTGCAGCTTCAGAAGTGAAGCATAAAATGCTTGTCATGATCATGGAAGAAGAGAAAGTCATCTGTATCCCTTCCACCCTTTTCTGCTCACTGTTGCATAGCCCCCAGTCTGACATAATCCATGGAGAACAAGACAATTATCTCATATTATCTATCCAATATGTAGTCTTAGAACAGAATGCATCAACTTATCTGTCATTCTTACATGAATGTGGCCTATTATTACTTAGATATGTACACTTAACTTTCACAAAACAAAATCAGTATTTCCTCAACTAATTTATCACATGTTGCAGACAGAGAGAGTAACCATGCAGCCGTCAGCTGTATCAAGCCACAACAGAGCAGGCCATAACTAGCTGTCTCTGGACCAGCCACAACAGAGCAGGCTGTAACTGTCTCTGGGCCAGACACAACAGAGCAGGCTGTAACTGTCTCTGGGCCAGACACAACAGAGCAGGCTGTAACTAGCTGTCTCTGGGCCAGCCACAACAGAGCAGGCTGTAATTAGCTGTCTCTGGGCCAGACACAACAGAGCAGGCTGTAACTGTCTCTGGGCCACTCACAACAGAGCAGGCTGTAACTGTCTCTGGGCCAGACACAACAGAGCAGGCTGTAACTGTCTCTGGGCCACTCACAACAGAGCAGGCTGTAACTGTCTCTGGGCCAGACACAACAGAGCAGGCTGTAACTGTCTCTGGGCCAGACACAACAGAGCAGGCTGTAACTGTCTCTGGGCCAGACACAACAGAGCAGGCTGAAACTGTCTCTGGGCCACTCACAACAGAGCAGGCTGTAACTAGCTGTCTCTGGGCCAGACACAACAGAGCAGGCTGTAACTGTCTCTGGGCCAGACACAACAGAGCAGGCTGTAATTAGCTGTCTCTGGGCCAGCCACAACAGAGCAGGCTGTAACTGTCTCTGGGCCAGACACAACAGAACAGGCTGTAACTAGCTGTCTCTGGGCCAGACACAACAGAGCAGGCTGTAACTGTCTCTGGGCCAGACACAACAGAGCAGGCTGTAACTGTCTCTGGGCCAGACACAACAGAGCAGGCTGTAACTGTCTCTGGGCCAGACACAACAGAACAGGCTGTAACTGTCTCTGGGCCAGACACAACAGAGCAGGCTGTAACTAGCTGTCTCTGGGCCAGACAAAACAGAGGAGGCTGTAACTAGCTGTCTCTGGGCCAGCCACAACAGAGCAGGCTGTAACTGTCTCTGGGCCAGACACACAACAGAGCAGGCTGTAACTGTCTCTGGGCCAGCCACAACAGAGCAGGCTGTAACTGTCTCTGGGCCAGACAAAATAGAGCAGGCTGTAACTGTCTCTGGGCCAGACACAACAGAGCAGGCTGTAACTAGCTGTCTCTGGGCCAGACACAACAGAGCAGGCTGTAACTGTCTCTGGGCCAGACACAACAGAGCAGGCTGTAACTAGCTGTCTCTGGGCCAGACACAACAGAGCAGGCTGTAACTAACTGTCTCTGGGCCAGCCACAACAGAGCAGGCTGTAACTAACTGTCTCTGGGCCAGCCACAACAGAGCAGGCTGTAACTAACTGTCTCTGGGCCTGACACAACAGAGCAGGCTGTAACTGTCTCTGGGCCAGACACAACAGAGCAGGCTGTAACTGTCTCTGGGCCAGACACAACAGAGCAGGCTGTAACTGTCTCTGGGCCAGACACAACAGAGCAGGCTGTAACTAACTGTCTCTGGGCCAGACACAACAGAGCAGGCTGTAACTAACTGTCTCTGGGCCAGACACAACAGAGCAGGCTGTAACTAACTGTCTCTGGGCCTGACACAACAGAGCAGGCTGTAACTGTTTCTGGACCAGACACAACAGAGGAGGCTGTAACTAGCTGTCTCTGAGGCAGACACAACAGAGCAGGCTGTAACTAGCTGTCTCTGGGCCAGACACAACAGAGCAGGCTGTAACTAACTGTCTCTGGGCCAGACACAACAGAGCAGGCTGTAACTAACTGTCTCTGGGCCTGACACAACAGAGCAGGCTGTAACTGTTTCTGGGCCAGACACAACAGAGGAGGCTGTAACTAGCTGTCTCTGGGCCAGACACAACAGAGCAGGCTGTAACTAGCTGTCTCTGGGGCAGACACAACAGAGCAGGCTGTAAATAGCTGTCTCTGGGCCAGACACAACAGAGCAGGCTGTAACTAGCTGTCTCTGGGCCAGACACAACAGAGCAGGCTGTAACTAACTGTCTCTGGGCCAGACACAACAGAGCAGGCTGTAACTAACTGTTTCTGGGCCAGACAGAACAGAGGAGGCTGTAACTAGCTGTCTCTGGGGCAGACACAACAGAGCAGGCTGTAACTAGCTGTCTCTGGGCCAGACACAACAGAGCAGGCTGTAACTAACTGTCTCTGGGCCAGACACAACAGAGCAGGCTGTAACTAACTGTCTCTGGGCCAGCCACAACAGAGCAGGCTGTAACTAACTGTCTCTGGGCCTGACACAACAGAGCAGGCTGTAACTGTCTCTGGGCCAGACACAACAGAGCAAGCTTACCTGGCTGTAACTGACTGTCCATGGTCAGACATGACAGAGCAGGCTGTAACTGTCTCTGGGCCAGACACAACAGAGCAAGCTTACCTGGCTGTAACTGACTGTCCATGGTCAGACATGGCAGAGCAGGCTGTAGCTAAGTGTATCTTGGCCAGACACAACAGAGCAGGCTGTAAGTAACTGTCTAGGAAATAGCCGGAAATAGCATTCAGCTGTACACACGTTTTCTCGCAATCTACCAGTGATTCAGTTACAAAATACCCAATGATACAACTGCCAACAGTCGGAAAAAATTGTATTTGAATTATTGTTTGATCAGGAATAACATATTCCAATATTGTGTTACTTTAGTTTGCAGCCATTATAAAAACCATATGCGTAGCACTTTGGTACAAGTGATGGCTTTTGCAGGATATGTTTACGTAGGGAACAATTTGACCAGTCACCGTGGGGACTTCCCGCGCTACATGTTTTTCAATTGCGAAAACGTTATGTTGAGTCAAAGTATGGCATTTATAATATATGTATCCATTCTCTAGTAACTAAAGTTTGTTTCAAGGCACCAATATTGCTAATCTGACCATGGTTGCTGTAAATAATGTTGAGTTGTGCGATCTACCGATCACTCCGCACAATTTTTCCGAATTTTATGTAAACAATATTAAATAAAATTTTGAATAAAGTTAATAAAATATATCACAAACATAACTCCAGATATACAATGAACACACTTTTATAACCAGATAGTATAATAATGGGATTGAATTGAGTACTTCAGTTCGGATTTGTTGACTGGTATTTCAGGTGTAACCTGCTTGCAGTGATCAGCTGAAATGCTCTTTTGAGATGGGGAAAAGCATTGTGTAAGTGTAAAACTTGAGCTTACTAAAAATGTAAGAAGTGTTGGGAGCCATGTGTAATAGCGAGAGAACATTGTACTTAAGATTTGCATTCCGTATTGTGGCATATAGATAAATAGGCCTTCGTGTATCGAGTATTGTATAGTGGGTCAAGTATCGGTGCATCGGAATATTGGTGTATCGTTTCACTCTTATTCATAAGTATTTAGATTCTGCAATGAAATTGAGCCCAGCCCAGCTTTTAGCTGCATTTTGTTACCATAGCATTCATAACACTGATAATGGAATCTTAAATTCTGAAAAAGCGCAAATATAATTGCTGAAGAGTTTCGTGAAGATGTTGCAACAGTGTCTGAGGTAAATGCCAGACTGTTGTGTGCATGTAAAGCTAAATCTATAAGCAGGACTTTGATGAGGACATGTGTCTGTTCAAGAAAACCTTCTTCAGTCAATTAAAACTGTCCCTCATTGGTTACGTTAACCTATCATCACATGATTCATTGTTCAATGTGGCAGAAGGTGATCTGTCAACATTCAAGCAAATTGGAGCACACATGACAGACATCCAACTTGTCCTGAATTGGGCAGTGGACTCTATTGACCGTTGCTCAACTAATGATTAATACAGTCAATATTTGGCTTCCCATTAACTGCCAGCTACTCTGTTGACCAATATGGTCTTGTACTGGGGCTACAGCAAGGAGCCTCTACTGACCAATAGTAGAGGTACTGTGAGGTGTATCTGTCCGACATGGCCATGGTAAAGAAAGGGGTTTCTGTTGACCAACATGGTTCTGTAATGGAGATACAGCCAGGGGTCTCTGTTGACTAACATGGCCATGGTAAAGAAAGGGGTTTCTGTTGACCAACATGGTTCTGTAATGGAGATACAGCAATGGGTCTCTGTTGACCAACATGGTTCTGTAATGGAGATACAGCAAGGGGTCTCTGTTGACTAACATGGTCCTGTAATGGAGATACAGCAAGGGGTCTCTGTTGACTTACATGGTTCTGTAATGGAGATACAGCAAGGGGTCTCTGTTGACTAACATGGTTCTGTAATGGAGATACAGCAAGGGGTCTCTGTTGACCAACATGGTTCTGTAATGGAAATACAGCAAGGGGTCTCTGTTGACTAACATGGTTCTGTAATGGAGATACAGCAAGGGGTCTCTGTTAACCAACATGGTTCTGTAATGGAGATACAGCAAGGGGGCACTGTTAACCAACATGGTTCTGTAATGGAGATACAGCAAGGGGTCTCTGTTGACTAACATGGTTCTGTAATGGAGATACAGCAAGGGGTCTCTGTTGACCAACATGGTTCTGTAATGGAAATACAGCAAGGGGTCTCTGTTGACTAACATGGTTCTGTAATGGAGATACAGCAAGGGGTCTCTGTTAACCAACATAGTTCTGTAATGGAG